GTGATTCACGCGTTTTTATGCGTTTTTCCCTCATTCTCTTCACTCTTTTTGTTTTCCGTTTTTGTCTATGGTTAACTGCAAAAGTGTTTGAGAAACCAGCTAAAGCCCGTTACCAAATTTTTTTTTTAATTGAATTGGAATGGAGAAACAAAAATCTGATCTACGCGCACACATAGGTTCCATTTTCTGCTCTCGATCTTAAAACAGAACCCAGAATTTCGAATTTTTTGGTTTCGGTGTTTTCCCCCCGATCACATGTTCACGGGCATTAATTATCTCGAATGATTTTACACTCTAATAACGAATAAATGAGCATTCCATCGACTTATATGAGCACAAGTAACTTGAGGTAAGGTGCACGAGTGATCGGTACACAGTGACGTACCGGAAAATCGGCCAAATACAAAAGTCGAATTAAAACTCTACCAGAGCAAAAATGTTCTTCGTCAATTTTGATTTTGTGTGTGTTTGTGCTTGCGCTTGTGCTTGAGTGCTTAAAATTGAAAATGGTCAAGATTGAATGGCCATTTAAGAATGCATCGCTATTCAAATTGGTCATAGGAAAATTGCCATATGAAACAGAAATGAATGTTTGAGGCGAGCTAAAAAGACAGGCTGAAATATTTCTTGGTTATTTTTTTCAACATCGAAATCGAAGCGCGACCACTTTTTGCGTTCTCCGTTTGTTCGCTCTTACAAAATAGAATGTTACAAAATGGTTGATAGACCCACTTTTTAGCATGTACTCCTAGCCATTTGTATTTGGAGTGTGTGTGTGTGTGTGTGTTAGTTTTTTTTTCTTCATTCGTCGCTCATTTTTTATTGCTTTCTGACGTCGATACATATGTATGTGCACTGTGCAGTGCATTTGAAGCACAACTCAAACGATTTATATGCCAAGTACCTGCATTTCTGCTGTTTATTTCGACTTCTGTTGCTGCTGCTGCTGCTACTTTTTTGTGTTGCCTTCATCAATTTTGCTGTCTTTTTGTATCCACAAATCAAGTCTCTATATTATGGTTGCTCATTTTTTGAGGCAAAATAGTCAATTACATATGGAAGAGAAACTGAATTACGAATGGTAACAGGTTGAAAATCCCCAACGTTACAATTTACAATTTACAATTTTTCTGACAATTTGGAATCGATAAGATTGCTCATTTCTCGTTTATTCGTTCGCACACATCATCTCTCTTTCTCTCCCCATATAAAATCGAATGTGCATTCGTATATTTTTGGTTTCGCAAATCACTCCAATTAGCGCAGTGTGTGCTTTTTTATGTAACAAATGTACATGTGCAAACGGAGTTGTCGTAGCTGCTTGTAACGATATTTCCCGAAACTGTGAATAATGCTATCGAAATATTGTCTTGGACTGAAAAAAAAGTCGAGCTGAAACTGAAACCGAATTCAAGCATAAACGCGTACTGGCACCAAACACCATACCACACCAATTGCTCCAGTATGAAGCTTTCATTTCGCATTTTCATGTCGAACTCAATTAGCATAAAATCCACTTTGCGGCAAACGGTCATGTGCGCAATCTATTTCGCCACAGTCTGTATAACGCTCCCGAACGTATAACACAACTCACACAATAATTGGACCAAGGGATCAAGAGAAAGGCAATGTTTACGCTGAATGAATGGATGAATGAATGAATGAGTGAGTGAATGAAAAATGAAAAATTGCACACACAAACGCATCAAACGCATATTCAAATGCATTCGAAATTGAATGCGATTATGTATTTGTGTAATGCTTGAGTTTTCGTTTTGTTTCTGTTGACTTCTTGTTCGGTTGATAGTCGTGGGCTCATTTTATCGGTTACACATGTGGATGTGCAATGACAATTACTTGGATTTGTGGGACATGTCATTGTTTCATTCATCAATTTCAGTCTGCGAAAAAAAATATGTTGCAACACCATATTAAGTGGCTTAATTGCTTTGCACACGGAAACACTTGGTGCTCAAGATTTGCCTCACTCACCACACAAACACACCACCGATGCCATGCCAAAATGAGACAAACACAATTTGTTTACCAGCATACAAACCATCTCAAATCACATTGGTCACCATTCGTTCAAAATAGATTCAAGAGAAGAAAAGCGAAGAAAAAAAACTGTCGTTCTTGCCAAAGGGTAACAGCTGCATTGCAATTAGTTGGGACAGCCACAGCGGATTGTATATTGATCTGTTCAGATTTTGAAAAGACAATTAAGAAAAAGGAAAAACTGACACACAAAACACGCACACACATAGCAGCAGCAGCACAGTCAAAGCAATCAGACCGAATCGAGAATGTTTGCGACCCATATATTTGGTTTTCGTGTTAGTTGTTTTTAGAATGTGCTCCACATAAGTCGGCATAGTTGATCACATATTCGAAACCGTTTATGCGAGCGCTGCTTGCGTGTGCCAAAGCAAAAACAGACATTCGCAAAGAACTACATATATGTATGGAACGATTAATATCCAAATCGCTATTCATGACAGCGAAAGAAGAAGAAGAAAAAACATAATCTTTGGAGAAAAAAAACACATGAATGAACCGCTCAAGAGCTTGAAAAATGATATAGAATTAGAGGTGTGTGCTGTCGTCGCCGCTGCCGCCAATTTTTACTGTTCGTTCTTTTTCTTCGTCCACACCGAATAAGAATGTCGTTTGGCTCAATGTGTACCTGATAATAATAAATGACTTAATGTCAACTGCTGCATTTTTGATATTGGTGTGTATGTTTGCTAACAAAATGATAGCCAATTGACCAGCTGCTTACAAACAGAAATTGCCAGAACAATTGAAACAATGTGGTTGTTGGTGTTGATGCATTACCAAAATAGTGGCGATTGTTTTTTTTTAATTTCATTTTGTTTCTCTTGTCTTTCCTCGTTTTATTTGAACTTTCCACTCGACATATTGCAGTGCAACAAGTGTATCGTCTAGATTGGAATGTCAGGAAGATGTTCAATGAAATTGCACAAATTTTGAAACGAATATTGTGATCAGATCATCTGTTTTTGCCATCTGGCATAAAGTAACTATAAAACGCTTTCCTTCGCGTTCTGATTGTGTGCAGTGGTTCGACATTCGTAAAATGTCCAGATCATGATGTGCGTATGTATTTTTTTTCTTCTTTCCATCTCTTTCTGTTAAAGTCTCAAAACAGAAAAAAAATTGAACAAAAACGCTGCCACGGCGATGGGAATAAGAAAAAAGTACAATTCCAAAAGTTACCAAGCGAAAGAGAGAGATAGAGAAAAGTAAGATTTTGAATGACCTAAATTAAACAAGTTTCACTGTTTAAGCGCAATGCGCTTAATGCATGAAGCCATTTACGTATATACGTTGTGTTGTTCACCAGTCGCATATACTTTATACATCAGCACACCGATATAAAGCAACATAATTTGTGCTAAGCGGAACATACATCGATACATGTTGTGGTCAAACAAGTAAAACGTAACGAAAAGTGAAAAAAAAACCAACAACAACGAAAAATGAATAACGAAATTCTTCTAATGGACTAAAAATAGACTCCGAGAACGATATGCACTGTGTGTCGTCAAAGTGCTGATCGTAGCAGAGGACCGACACAGAACGCATGAAAAACCATTCACGATGAAAATTTGACAACGGTAACGTTGGTATTGGTTGCTGCTTTTCCTTTCGTTTGGAATTCTCTCTGTTTTGATCAATCGTAACGATTGGATAGAACCGAATGTTATTACTGATTCGATTATTTTAAGTCGTAATATATTCTATTTAGTTTGTGACATATGATTTATGATATGCATTTCATCCAGATCCAGTCCATGTGTGTGTGTGTGTGTGTGCTTATTTCTGCATAAATTAATCACTTAAAAGATATATACACATATAAATGGTCAATACATTTCAAATCGCAAAACATTTGCTTAAATGATGGCAGTCACATGTTTTGTATACTGATGTTGATTGATTGTATTACATAAAGCTGAGGAAATGCACCAGGTAAATTTTACGTTTACTCACATCGAGGAGTAGGCACATTGCATGCAATCAAATAACAAGATCAGATTTTCGAAAGACATAACAGTGCTTTGAGTGAAAGAGCCCCGACGCATACACATACAAACGCAAATACACATCTATTATGTTGAACAAGAAGAGAAGAGAGAGAGAGAGAGAGAGAGAGAGAGAGAGAGAAAACGTATGCTTGAGCACACATATACGCGTTGCAATTGCATTTTCCCAATATTGCCGTTCAATTGCTGCGGCGCGTTCATTTTGCATCGGAATTGCTCAAGCTCATACTGTTTGGGTTTGGAATGCTTACATCATGGCCACATTAGGTATACGTCAATTCTGCAAATGGAATACTGATTCGTTGTTGTGGGTGCATTATTTTTTTTTCTACTCTCATTACTAGCGGCTTTTCGGTTTTGCTTATTTTTTTCCGGCACAAAAAACGGCGACGAATATTTGACAGTTCTTTTGAAATGTCTGTAGCCGTGTGGATAAATCAAATCATCATAGTGAATAATTACTATATGAAATACGCCATGCATTGGAATTGAAATTACCAGACAAAATATATTCCATTCAATGATGACGATGATTTGAAATGCTACATTCCATAGCATGTCCAATAATCTACTACGGTCTATATAGTAAACGGTCGATTTCGTCATTTCATTTTGTTGGCATTATAATGATTGAGCGATTGATCCCCCCTCCCGACAAGAAATTTGCGAATAATCGCATTGCGGATAGTTGGCGAGTACCCTGCGAATACTCTGAAATGTCATGCGCAGCCAACTTCAGGTTGGAACTGTACTGTTGTTCGCAGCGCGAATAGTCGCAGGGTATTCAGCGATAACATTTTGCGGCAACTTTTATTGTGGATTCCTATTCGCATTGCGAGTATCCGCGGATATGCGACGGAGTGTCGGCGTACACCTATTTTACCGCAAATTTCTCGTCGGGCCTCTAATCATACAACTCATTTTCTGCAGGTTTTCACGATAAACGGACAATTTTTTGAAACGCCGATATTTGTAGCGATTTGCAGCCAACGAGAGAACCGACATTGAGCTGGAAATCGACCGACAAAACATCGGACTAATCTATTTACACCGATATAATAATTTAAAAAAGAAATAAAAATTGATAGCCAAACGGTACGACGATCGTCACGAATAGTGACATCGAAAATTCGCAACGATTCCAAAAAAATGTCGAGTGAACCAGACTGTACAGCATCATCTGGTGGCTCCGGATTCATACTCGAGTCCTCGTTGAGCAGCATCATCAACCATCGAAAAAGCTCGATCACAAATAAGATCAATAACAACAACAACAACAACAACAACAACGAAGACACCGACTGTGACCTAGAAGGCGTCCACAACAATAACTCAAATCATAACAGGTAAATCTATTTTGCTTCAAATAGAGACACAGCCACGTTCATCAGATTAAGTGAAAGAGATGTCTTTAAAAATTTAGAGCCTGTTTTGTTTTCCATATGTACAAAACTAATCACTTTGGTGCGAAATCTCAGTTCTTGAATTGCAATTGAATTAAAAACCAATATACGTTTTCAACTCACTGATAAACAACGAATCAAATACAATTTTTGTAGTGATAGCAACAACAACAACACAAACAACAACGGCAACAATACAAATAGCATTAATCATGTGTCAGCTGCAACGACAACTACTTCAAGCGGCTTGCTGGGCGATAGTGCATCGAATTTGGACGGGAAATTCAGTAAGTGTACCGAGTTGTGGCTCACGTTTGTGAAATGCTCAAGCAGGATGAAGATATTGATAAGAGCTTTTTAATTTAGATACATTAAAATGCGATCGATGTGATAACTTTGAAACGATATCGCATGCGCTGTTGTTGGTACACGTGGCTCAGTGTCGAGGCGATGCAAACAGCGGTTCTAGTCGGCAGCAATATCCAATGGATGTGACAAACGCAAGCACCGATAGTGGCATCACTGAGGATGCAACACAATCGGTTATGGATAGCACATCGGTGGCGGCCTCATCGTCAACCATCAACATGAACAGCGACAGTAGCAGGTGAATAAATTTGTCAATAACATTCTGTCTGTGTTCATTCTTTGCGTGGACACATGCACACACACATACATAGTGAACGCAATGCTTACTAATCGTTGCAATTGAAAATATCTTTGAAATCGTTCAACAGTTTGCAGCTGAAGCAAAATACGGATGGTAACAATGGTAATGTGGCGCAGAGGAAACTATTTGAATGTGATGTTTGTAATATGAAATTTTCGAATGTAAGTATCCAATGCCAGACAAACACACAGTCAGTATGTCCGTAATTCCAATTTAATAATTCGTATCAATTTTTGAATGTAGGGAGCCAATATGCGAAGGCATAAAATGCGACACACCGGCGTCAAGCCGTACGAATGTCGCGTTTGTCAGAAGCGATTCTTTCGCAAAGATCATCTCGCTGAACATTTTACAACGCACACAAAAACACTTCCGTATCATTGTCCGATTTGTAATCGTGGATTTCAACGGCAAATCGCAATGCGAGCCCATTTCCAAAATGAACATGTCGGCCAAAATGATCTCGTCAAAACCTGTCCGCTTTGTAATTATCGAGCGGGCACCATGAAATCGTTGCGAATTCACTTTTTCAATCGTCATGGCATCGATCTTGACAATCCCGGTCCAAATGCACCATCGTCGCTTCTACTCGCTTTAGACGCCTCAAATGCGAGCAGCTATTTGCCGTCAATTGCTCTGGCAGCGGCAGCAGCTGCTGCTGCTGCCAACAGCAATTCAGCACTCTCTCTCGCCAATAACAACAGTAACAGTGTCGCCGCTTACAGTGATAGTGGAGACTCGTTACAGGTTAGAGCTTACTGTGCACATTTAACGGCTGAGGTAAGGGAAAATGAATGTTTCTTCTGTTTATTTCGTAGGATTCATTGCGATCAGCTGAAAATGGAACGCCTCCCATGCATTTCTTGACACCGCATGTCGAAATATCCATGGCGGATAACGAAAACTTCAAAGTAATTGTATTTTTCTTTTAATTTTCTGAAATATAAATTCTAGCAACATTTTCTGTATATTTTTGTACAGTCGGAGCCCATTCCAGCGAGCATAAGTTCAGCACTCGAAATTCAAGCGTGTCCATCGACAATGAACCGACCTTTGAATGGCGGCTCACCATCACCGCATTCGGCTGATTCCAATGCGCCAACCAGCTCCCAATCATTGATTAGTAGTGCTTTACAAAGCTCGCGTCAAAGTTTGCTTCATGATGGACAAATCACGCCATCGATTAGTCTTATACCAATTAAACAGGTTTGTGTATTTACAAAAAAAAAATTCCATCTTCTCATGCTAGCAAAAAAAAGACGTATTAAAAATGTGTTATGTGTTCATAATGTTCAGGAGCCCGGTTGTGATGACTATGAAAGTATGTCGAAATCATCGCGTCAGTGTGTTGATCAGCAATCATCATCAATGCAAAATATGAACTCCATTACAACCAATTCCGTAGAATCCAGTGCAGCGTCTTCATCGAGCCTGACCTCTTTAATCAAAGTAATTATATTCCAAATCTGTGAATTGTCTTATTCTTGTCATTTACTATATGAAACGCTGGTAAATCGTATTTAGGTGTCTCCTTTGAAATCGCTATTACGTGAAGATTTGAAAAGGCGAATATCGGCGCGGGCAAGCAACCGTGCATCTCGAAACAATAACAATGCCAATGGAAATAGCGAAAGCACTAGCAATGGAACAAACAGTAGCAGCGCAAATAGTTCGACTACATCCAGCACAGCCTCAACTCAAAATACATCATCGTCGATGTCGTTCAGTAAAATTGGCAGCAGTGCATCGTCCATTGCAAATACGATGAATGCAATCAGCCAACATTTGTTGTCCAATTCCTCAATTACTGTCACTACGGAATCGACCACAACATCGTCTGGTGAGTATTGTGGACGTCATGCCCGTTATTTTTGGTAAATTTAATCGATTTTTTCCCTCAAAAAATTCAATGACATATTCCTTTTGAAGGCTCTTATAACGGAACAACGTCACGGAGTCCATTGGCAGCGGTGGCAACAACATCAAACGGTGCAATCACATCGACGGGCACATCGGAGACCGAACTTTTGTTGGCCGCAGTATCGAGTGGCCATCGAGGCAAACGGATGCTTCAGTGCCTATTTTGTGGTATTGAATTTCCCGATCAAACCCTCTATTTCTTGCATAAAGGTTGTCACAGCGAGAGCAACCCATGGAAGTGCAATATATGCGGCGAACAATTGAACAATGTCTACGAATTCAATTCGCATTTGTTGAGCAAGAGCCATCAATAGAATTGGTTCAGTTCGTTCGTGTCCGCACGAGCGAATTTAATATCCAGAGTATTATCGGAACACACAATCATCAACCAACTGCTTGCATATGAAATGCAACAATGATGATTCACCTAAAACTATAGCGCACACACATCCCAAAAAACGATTGTTTTTTTTTTGCATATAAAAAACAGAGTCAAACGATCAAATGGATTTTAAATCGAAATTGAGAAACATGTTGCGATAAACGACAAACAAAGAATTAAATACTGACAAACGAACGGAGTACGTTCAAAAATAATTCCAAACGGAATTTTTAGATGCTCTGGCCAATACGACAAACGATAGAAACAACAGAAAATGCTGAACATATACATTCCAGAAAGAAATAGCAACAACAACAATAAAAACAACAACATGAAAAACTCCCAAGAAATCACCAATGCAGATATTTTTATTCATATATACACACATACAAATATTTCATATATTTTTTGAAAAAATATAGAACAAAAGCAACAACAAACCATTTTTCTTCACACAAACAAATACATGAACGGGAATCTTCTATGATATTAGAAAAAAATGAAAAAAAAAAAAACAAAATAGAAACGAAAACAACAACAAAGAGTGCAAATTTTTTAAGTAACAATTAATTAGAAATATTATATTGATTATTTAACATGTTGAAGAGAAAAAAAACTAAATTAAACATATTTAAAATTTATTCAAAAATGTTTCGAACGAAATGTGAAGGGTATGTGATGTTGATGATGAATTTGTTCCTTCAGAACGATAAACTCGAATATATTTATCTGGTGGAGAAGATGTAAAGCGCTTTAGAAACACCATTTCGCCAAATCCCATAAAATTATGTTTAAAAAATAGAGAGAGAGAGAGAGAGAGAGAGAGAAATGTTGATGACAGTGTGAAAAAGAGTTCTTATGAACAATTCCAAATGATTGTGCAGTTAATCGCACACAATAGAAAGCTGCCATGGGCAAAGGTAGATGACCGCGACTAGGAAGCGCATGTACAAGTTCATCGATACAACCTCAAATAGTATTGGATTTCAAATCATATTTGAGCAAACTCTTTGATGACAATATTCTATCGAATTATAAGAATGACAAAAATGGAAAGTTTGTCGATTTTCTACCGATTTCCATTCCGGATTCGATACAGTCACAAGATCAAAAGATCGAATTTGGATTGATGCAAATGCATTTTTCCTCTTTGGCCATTCTTATAATTCAATCAATTGCCAAGCAACGGAACAAGCGTATTACATTTTTAAATGATTCCAAACTCAAATTTATGTGCAAAACGAAAGTGTGATGATTTATTATTATTGTTTTTGTTTTGTTTTGTCCTTCTTCTTATTTTATTTTGTGAATGGGTACGAACGATGATAATTGTAAGGATAAGGAGAATCATGTAATCGAAATCAAATTGGTGCTGAGCATAATTAAATATAATGTAGAATGTAACGGTTAGCGTGATGCGATGACATTTTGCACACATAATTCTTTTTGTTTTCGGTTGGTTTATTTTGAATTCATTATGTTAACATCGAAGCTCACTTGACAATGAGCACCACATCCATTTGTGACATTCCAAAAAAAGCCGATAAAGTATTTTCCAAACAGAATTGTATTTCATTTTCATGTCAATTTCTCTTGCATGGAAGTACAATGATATTTACAATTCGTAAAAGGAGCTATAGCTCCCTAACATACACACAACAGTATCTTTTGTACTCCGTCCATACTTTCAGCCAGTCAGCCCATAGTTATAATTTCAATTCTTGGTTTTTACATGGCATTTTCAGTGATATTTTCCCTGTTTCAAACTGGATGATTCAATTAATAACAAACAGTATTATTTTGTTTTTGTGTTTGTTGTTCGAAATGTTTCACTCTTGACATCTTTTGATTTATGGAGAAGAATATGCGAATGCATCCCGAGTACAAATTGCAAAGTTTGACATTGAAAAAATAAATCTTGATAACGAACCATTTTTTTGTTTGTTTTGGTTTATTTTGAATACTACAAATGTTTGAAATGGCGAATTGAGGGTAGAACAAAATAGCAACTTATCTTTCATACCGAAATACAAGCAAAACAAAATAAGAAAAAAACATCAATGAAATATCAATCAAATCCGTAATATTTTATAGAAACAATAATAGAAAATGAATGCAATAACATCTAAATAAAAAGAAAACAAGTCGAACAAAACATATAAACTGACAACAAAATGAAGAAAAAAATATTGTTACAAACTGAGGTGCCTTCTAACTCTACACAAATCATAGAACATCATAAAAACAAAACATAAACCGATAGACAGTGTTTTCCTTTATCTAGTATCAAAATATAGCAAAAGTAAAACGCAGAAGGTCATCCAAAACTACAAATCATATTGTACTAAATAATGTGTTCTCTCATTTTCGTCGTTCACGAAACGAATGCAGACTAACTTCATCGATATTCATCCGCAAAACATTCTAAAGAAAATGCAACTATTAACACCGTACAAATGAATCGGCTGGAGCCATTGCAAAATGAACAACATACAATTGTTTTCTACAACAACAAAACGAAAGTAAACAAAAAGTTATGTACAAATTTTAGTAACGAAAAAAACCGTTATGGATCAACAAATTTTTCTATAATTCATAGCAAAACAACTTGAATAAAAAAACCTAGTGAAAAAGAGGACAAAATAAATTTAAAAAATAAAATTGAAAAAAAAACCAAACAAACTGAAATCGCTACTTCGAAGCCAATGGGCAGCCTTACATTTTTATTAGACGACAAAAAAAATACATACAAAAGATACAAAAAAAAGTTATGGAATTTATGTGATCAATCATTTTTTTTTATTGTAAATTACCGATATAATCGACTGGGGATCGTAAATGATAGTTTTCCAGATTCATTTTTTCGAGATTTGCGTAATCCAATTTTTATATGGTTTTCCGTCTTTACTTTAGAACCACTATTTTTTTCTGCTTTGAAGACAGAGATTTGCTAAATGGCGAAAAACCATTTGACGTCTCGTTGAATAAATTGCGAATTGGAAATTGTGTTCCAGACATTTAGTGATTTTTGTTTCCATTCCATAGGGTAGCGAATTCGAATTCTATATTTTTTTTTCTCCATTTTTTTGGTTTTTTTATTAACATATTGCATCCGAATGTGTTCAGATCGTACGAGAATCTCAGAAATTGTGTTAATTTTTGAAGAGACCAAAACTGGAATGTCCCAAAAAAAGAAAGAGAAAAAAGAAACGAAATGCATATGCAGCATAAGATGTAGCAGAAGATGCATATTTTAGAAAATTCACAGTCATCTTCTCTTGTTCCAGCCCATCTAACAATTATCAACCCAAATACATCCGATTCCAGGCACATTTCCAAGGTTGAATACGGGGATAGATTTAACCGTAGAAGTAACCGTCATAGTGATCCAATTGTGCATGGAATGAATGGAGAAAAAATTGCATAAAATTAGCATCAATACATTCAATACTCTTATTTCAATTGGAAAACAAATCATTTACTTACATACATGGGTACTTCTGGCCTCCTTAGTTAAGTATGTACGCCTACTATACCACAACAATCAGGCATAGCGGAAATAACATAATGTTATATTTTAATTTTTAAATTATTCATTGTGAATGGCGTGAAATACATGATGCTGGTTAGTTGTTGACAGCAGCTCGCTGGTTGGATGGCCTCTGCAATGTTTCGGGTAACTCGTCCCCAAACAAGTCACAGTGTCCTTGAAAATCATACAAGAAAACAATGAATGATATGAAAACAAAGCACTGCACCTCACATCACATGCAATTCAATCAATATATTATGAGCACTTACCTTTGATCAGGATACATTTTGCAGCGGCTATGTCGCGATGCCATGTCGTCTTGTGTACTCGTGGCTCGACAACTTCCATCTCACCGGCTGAATTGAATTTCACGTATTCCACGATTTTACTAGACTCATTTACATGCCATGTTTTGTGGTAGATTGCCACTTTTGGGAGTAATTCTGGGTTTAGTTGATCTGGATGTGGGACATCATTGCCAACCGCTGGATTTCCGTTGCCCTCTTCCGCTTCTTTCTCGAGCAAAAACAGTTTCAGCTTCTCTTGCCTCATCTTTCGTTTGTTGACCTTGCACACGATCATTGATGGCAGCATTGCTTCTACCAATTTCGGCCGACAATCATGGCAGACTTTGAAGCGATGTCGTTTCGTACGTCGATCAAAACGGCCAAAGCACTTGGCGCATGTTTGTGAAGTGTAATACTCGTCGACCATATTAACCATACAACCACGACACTTTTTGTAGCTTCGTATCATTTTCCGATTGCCCGGGCAACGCAGTGACTTTTTGATGCCGATGGGTGAACTGGGCGACATTTGAGCAGCTCCGAAATGCATGAGTGTTGGCTGATGGTTGGTCAACATTCCGGCTATGCTATCGGTCACACTGTTTGCTCGAACATACTTGTCAAAGTTGAGTCTCGTGTATTTGTCTGTCGTATACACGGCAATGCCACGTTCCGTCATTTTGAGTCGATGCCGAATGTAGTTCTGCCAGTGCCTACCCAATGGCGATGGCATCACCGGATAGAGCGCACGATTTTCACGATCCTGCCTCTCTTCCTTGACAAAGTCTTTGGTCCACCGCTTTCCCTGTCGATTTCGAACCGTTTGCTTCGTCCAGTAATGATACTGTTTGCTGCTGATCGTGTAGTTCGTCTAAGAAACGAAACAAAACAGAACAAAGAAAACCGTTTAGATAAAAATGACAATGACAATGGCATAACTTTGGTTTATCAAATGAACAATGCACGCATATTGTTTACCTCTTTGCCAGTTTCGATGTTGTGTACCGTTGTTGCGTTCCACGTATTCACACCCGGATCAGTTGCACCTTCATTGACAAACTTCTTGTAGTTTTGAACAATGGCCTTTTTGTCCGGTTCCATGTTGCTCATTTTCGTTTTGTCAATATCGAATTGTAGCGATACGGCCTGTCCATTCGAGAGAATTCGGAAACGGAACTTTTTTCTACTGCGACCGAGATGATAGATTTTCCGCATATCGAAGTATTGGCCCCAATAATACTCCTTTTGTTTTCTGAACTCGTCCTCTGTGATGTTAAGTGGTACGATTCCAAGTTGACGCAACAAAGAGTACAATGTTCGATTGTCCAACGTGTAGTGGGTACGAGTGAAACTGCAAATGGGAATCACTGCCAGATTTTTCACTCTCGGCGGCCCTTTCTCAATGTACTCATTTCCATTTTGGCCTCGATCTGTCGGCTGCTGGCAAGTGCACGGACGGTGATTTCGACGTCGGCATCGTTTCAGCTCTTCAAACTCTTCGCGTTGGCATCGGCGTTCTTCACGATATTCCTCGCAGGTGTTGAAATCATCAATTTTCCGCTGGAGGGAAATCCAGAATGCGATGCTCTTGAACCAGTCCTTCCCATTTGTGAATAGGCCGATGTTGTTGTCTGGTATGTCCCACCAACTGTTCTTCGTGACCATTCCAATCAACAACGTACGCCGCTCACGTTTGGCAACATCATCCATGCCATTGATTGTGATATCGTCATTGCCAAAAATTGCCAAACTAATCACACGGTCGATGTCAGCCTGTTCGTATCGAGCAACCAACGAAGATTCGAACACTTTTACACGCAGCCATTCGCGCAGGCGTTTCTTGCTATGCGTCTTCAAGTTGTTTTTTACGTTCGTTATGTACGTGTCAATCAAATCATTCATTGCATTGCCGAAATAGTCTGCGTTGGGCCAAACGACTCGATGGCTATCGTCCAGCTGATGCACCATTTTACGAAATTCCGGCGGCATTTTCTTCTTCTTGTAAAT